ACAAGTGGGATACCTTAGATTGAATCCTCCTCATTTCCTGTGGGTCTAAATCTGGAAGGAATCCCCCTTTCTTGTGTAGATTACCAGTTGATGCTAAAATGAGGCTCCATTAAGTGCCCTTTTGCAATTTGCAACACAAATACAATTAGTGTAATTTCCTTTATTTTCATTATCAATTTGAAATGGTTTGTGTCATGAATTACCTCATTTAGTACTTGCATTTAAGTGGGGATTACTATGTTGGGATAGAGTGGGTGAATATGGAAATGACCTTCTAAGAGTTCTCTATTCCACTCGATTTGTTTTCTCCCAAAAAATTTTAATTATGCTTATTCTAGTAGAATTCGGCCTTTAGTGCTTTATAGAATAATTAGCGGAGGGGCCTTGCTTCGCAAGGACTGGAATGGAGTCATCGACCTGTTGGTCTAGTTTTTGGCCAAAATTGTTGAATCGGTCAATGATCCATTGATTTAAGCGATCAAACTGTCGATCTGTTTAATGGTTTTTGGTCATTTTTTATTTGTTTTAATTAGGAATCATCCAAGCAACCAATTTTGTTTTATTCTAATCTTGGTCCCTGACCAAAAATTGTTGAATTGGTCAATGACCCATTGACTCAGGCGGTCGAACCATTGACCCATTCAATGGTTTTTTGTTGTTTTTTTTATTTTTTTAATTTTTGTTGTCAGACTGGGCCATCCGTTCAAACCAAACAGTCAAATCATCGACCCAAAAACTGGTGGCTAGAACGGTTATGTTTTCAAGTCGTATGAGTCACACACTCAAATGACATAACACGTATGGCCCGTCTAGGCAACCAGTTTCGTTTTACCCCAATCCCGGTCCCTAGCCAAAAACCGCTGAATCAATCAACAACTCATTGACCTGAGTAGTCAAACTATTAACCCGTTGACCCGTTCAATGGTTTTTTGCCTTTTTTTTCATTTTTGTTGTTAGAACGGGCCATCCGTTCGAACTAGACAGTCGAACTGTCAACCCGAAAACCAGTGGCCTAAATGGCTCCATTTTCAGGTTATATGAGTCACACACTCGAATTACATAACACATATGATACTACTTAATGGACCTCACACTTAATTTTTCGCCTGTAATTTTTGTTGTCAGAATGGGTCGTCTATTCGAACCGGACAATCAAATAGTCGACCCGAAAACCGATGGTCAGAACGGCTCTGTAATTTTTTTGCTTGTAATTTTTTGTTGTCAGAATGGGCCGTTTGTTCGAACCGTTGACCCAAAAACCGGTGGCCAGAATGGTTCTGCAATTTTTTGCTTGTAATTTTTGTTGTCAGAATGGGCCATCCGTTCATTCGAACTAGATAGTCGAACCGTCAATTGTCAGAACATTATTAACAACATTTATCAATAATAATAAGTAATTATACTATTTAATTAAATAATCATTAATGATAGTTTTAATAATATTATTTAGTTATTTTTAATATAACAGTAAATATTAAATTTATGAATAGGATTTATTAACAATATTCATTAAATTAATAATTACCAAAATTAAATTAAATTAATAGTATTTATCAGTAATAGTCAGTAATTATAATATTTTATTAAATAATCAATAACAGTACTTTTAATAACATTTTTAATTATTTTTAATATAACAATAATTACTAAATTTATTAACAGTATTTATTAATAACAATATTTCTAATTTTAATTTAAAGCAAAATTAAAGTAAATATATATTTATTAACAATATTTATAATAACAATAAATATTAATTATAATCACTAATTATATATTTATTAAATTATTATATATATATATATTTATTTATTAATAACAATATTTATAATAACAGTATATTTATTAACAATAATTATTAATTATAATCACTAATTATATATTTATTAAATTATATATATATATCGAGATGTTGAGAAGGTGGAGAGTTGCAAAAGTAGAGGGAATCATGGAATTAATTCTGCTTCCACCCTAGAACTTAACTTCATTTCTTTCATTTAAACATTTTAATTTTGGTATTAATCATTTCATGAGACTCCTTTAGGAGTCGTTATTCTTTTAAGTAAATAGTATAACATCACATCAACAGTTTTTTATCTTGACTTTAATAATAGCGGGATTCGAAATCACAACACTAATTGAACAATTCATCCAACGCACCAACTGAGCTATCCCTCAATTGGTTAAAACATAACAATTGCTATGCTAACTCAGTCGATCCTATTCGATTGACTGAACCAAACTGGTTATGTCATTTTTGGTTATCTTAAATAATTTATAACCTTTCTATTTTTAAACTCATCTTTTAGCAGTGCATCTAGAAGGTTTTAAATTATGTTTCAAAGCTATTTTACATCAAGCTTAAAAAAATGAATATTATTAGAGGTTATTGCACCTTATAGCTCATGTATTGGGGATAGGGGTGTCCATTGGACTGGAATTGATTCAATCCGATCCAGTCCAATGTGAATCCATTACAAATGGATCAGGTCCAATTCAAGCCAATAAATAATTTGGACCATTTTAAACTGGTCCAATTTAATATTTGGACCGTCTAATTTATTCAAATTTATTTTAATTTAGATTGGTTTTGAGTCAAATACAATTCATTAACACCTATATTCTTATCTTATATCAATAGATCGAACATTGACTTAATTCAACTAAATCCAATATAGATTTATTTTAAAGGAACCAGATCCAGTCCAATCTAATAAATATTTTGGACCGAATTAATCCAATCCACTATGTCTTTTTATCCATCCAATCCGTTCAAATTGATTTTGGACTGGACGATCCAAAACCGGTCCATTGACTCCCTTAATTGGGAATTTGGGATACATTAATTGATGAAATCAGAAAACCGTTCTGAATGCTAATTCCGGTCTCAACAATCGGATTGGTTGTTCAGCACTATACCAAACTCCTTTTATTGGTGGTTTCCAACTAATTTCAGCTATTCATAGACCACAGTTTTGAATTTTTTTTAATGAATGCATGTCCTGACAAAGAACTAATTTTGAACATGTCTTTGGGGCTGAAAGCCTAAAATTTCTACAATTGGAGAGGTGAACATAGTTAGTTTCTTTCATGCTTTTGTTTTTTTTTTAATTATATTAAAAAAAATGTTCCTATATCCCTACCCACTCAACATTATCCCAGTGGCATATTGAGAATATTTTCCCATGAAAGACATGATATTCTTGATGCACAGCTGTAATATATTGTGAGTAAAGATGTAGGAATAGATTGTGGGTAGCAGATTCAAACCCGGGAGGTGGCAGGGCCGCAGGGCTACCATGAGCTGGGCAGCTGGGGACCAACATTTGGTTTCGTCCCATGATTCCAATTTTACCCAAGTTTGGTGGGCTCTTAGTCTTTATATATGTAGCAACAGTTTTGTTGGGAGCATTTCCCAATTCTATTTCCAATGTAAGAAAATAGAAACCGTTTTTGTTAGGGGAGATTGAGAATCATTCTCGAATTCACATTGGCGTTGCACAGAATATCCCAACCGTGCATTGGGAACATCTCCAATGACATGTACAGGAGATATACCCAATGTACTCTAGATATGCACGTGGAGTGCTGATGTGATCTCCTCATCTCTATGCATGCACGGATGACCCAGACCAATCCACTTTAACTGCCACGTGGCTAAAACCGTGAAATCATGCCCCTTCAATATATTGCTGTGGCCCCTCTTGAATTAGATAAAAATGACGTCAAGATGGAGGCCACAGCAAGTCAGCAATATAAGATGCATAGTAGAAAAAGTGAAATGGACCAAGACATGGGGCGCAGGGGACAACATTGGGTAATGGCCCTTCCATATATTCCAATTTCACTCCGATTGAAAAGCCCGCCATTAATGGATGAACAACGTACCAATTTCTCTTGCTGCCAATAGATCGACATGGAGTTTGGAATGAAGTGGAAGAACGAATTTGGGACAACATCAGTGACTAGCGAGAGCAACAGACTGGAAACTGCTGAGAAGAAGCAATAGCCGCAAGTTTATTGATGGCCCAGAAATAAACCTAAATGAATCCAGCGTGTTAGCCATTCCCTTTATACAAAGTTAAAAAGTATTTAGATATATCTACTTTAATTTGCCCATTTGTTTAAACATTCTTTTTTTCTGCCAATTAACCATGGAAATCAAATGACCACTGAGCTGATTAATTAGTTTGTTTGGATCAAGTATCGATCGGTTCATCTCTCTAAAAGATTTTCACGAAGAACAGTCGTAAGTCTAAGCTTGGATGAACACAGAGTCGGTGAAAATGTTGCATCAGGGTGCTCTCACTGTACAAAAAAGCATTGAGACCTTCGCTGAACTGAAGCATTACATACATGTTCGTCCAAATTCCAACACAAGAATTAATGTCTAATCCCACCATTGAAGGGGTCCCAAGTCCCAATTAACCTAAGAGATCCTCCACCTACAGACCTACTGAATGCATTAATAATTCACAGTGTTGTCATATATAATCTCTCTATCAATGTTGGTTTTGATGATGCAGTCAATCTATTGTTGGGGTGGGACCCCTTTAGTAGTGCTTCCTCGTCCCATCCTGTTCCCACCGGATGTATACACACCACACAGTATACTGGGTGAGAAAGGCAGTTGAAACTCAAAGCGCCATACAACGAGAGAAACCCATTACAAAACACGATCCTTTTTAATCAAACTATTCCGTCTCACATCACTGGTCAGTGGTCACTAGTCACTCAATATTATTATTTAGCATTGCAAGGATATCATATTAAAAGATAGAACGAAAATTGATTAGTAGCTAGAGAGAGAGACTGATGTAAGAAGATGATAGGTTGGGTGAGAGAGCATAATGTGGTTAAAAGGGGATTTAACCTACCATTTTTAATAGTTTCTTTGGTTGGTTGTTCATCAAATCAAATTGAAAGCTGAGCACTTACGAATCAAGACACGATTGTAACTCCACGGTGCATATCATGCATCAAAGAAATCTCCTTTGTTTCTCTTCCTCATCCTCAGTTGGTATTTGATTTCTTTAATCATTTTCTATAGGAATAGCAGGCTTATCCAGCTTCCCTGTCTCTCTCTCTCTCTCTCCATTGAAGTCCATAGTTTATAACCGAAAAGGCAAACTCAGGGATGAGCCATGAACTCTTCATTTGTTTATTATTTACTTAATTAATTCGTTTACGTCTCCTTGTACAAGGAATAAAACAAAATTTGGCCGGGGCTCAATATCAAACTTTCTCGGAGGGAGGAGGGGGTACAAAACTCAACCTCACAATCAGCGATTGATCTCATGGGTTTAAAGGTTTCAAACAGATCTGAACTCCATGTTTGGGCTTAAGAGTCAAGACCATAATCGGAGCGTGACGATAGTTCTTCGAGATGGTGAAGCTAAATTGTGATAACAGCATGGCTAATATGATCTTAGACTCCATCAGTGCAAAGGATTGACCAACACAATTGCGAGGTCCTGCTGCAAACGGAATGAAATGCCGGCCCGGAGCAAATGACTTCCCTGAAAATCTCTCTGGGTTGAATTCATGTACATCCTTTCCCCAGAGTTCCTCACTATGGTGAATTGCAAGTACTGGAATCCAAAGGGAGAGGCCCTTCGGAATGTGGAGGTCACCCAATTTGATATCCTCGAATGCCATTCGGGGGAGAAGGGAAGCCGGTGGATACAAGCGAAGCGACTCGTTTATCACCATGTTCAACTGCAGACACAAGCCAAAATGATTGTTAACCACTGATCGAACCAATAATTGTTTACATCTAATTTTACCTCCAACTACTAATTCATTATTGACAGTTACATGCAAGAAGAACTTTGATTCAACTCTTCATTTTCTTTTCTATTCTTTGTTTTGGAGTTTGAACTTGGAAACGAAATGAACCTGCAAATTCACGTAGTAACAGCAACATTTTTCTTACCAGGGAGAGCTTGGAGAGTTGATCAATGGTGGGTGCCTCCCCATTGCAAACCTGGAGCACCTCTGCTCGGACCTTGTCTTGCCATTCGGGGTTAGTGGCCAGGAGCATGATTGTCCATGTAAGCAGGAGAGCAGTGGTGTCGTGCCCAGCGAAGAAGAAAGTCTTGCATTCATCCATGAGCATTTGAAGGGTGAAGCTGAACCCCCCAGCTCTCTTCTTCTGGGTCTCGGCCAGAAGCATGCCCAGTAAATCATTCCCATAGGATGAGCTCCGACCGATCTCGACACAATCTTTTCGCCTCTGGATGATCTCCATCAATAGTTTCTCCACCTCCATCTTCAATGATTTGATTTCCCTGTTGTATTTGCTAGGGAAGAATCTATCAAATGAAAAAAAAAAAAAAAACAAGAAGCAATCAATTTACATAGTTGATGAAACCTTAAATTGCATAAATGACTAATTACTACCATTGTTGGAAGAGGTAACAACAGCATTTATATTGTGATGGCAAGCAGACAGAGTAAAACAGAGGAGCAAATATAGAAATAGAAGGAAGGAATATTAAAAAAATAAATTTCAAGTCAAGAAAGATGGAGCAGTGTCACTACTGAGAAATGAGTACTCACCGGCTACCCGGGAAGCATAGGTGGCGGGTGGATTGAGCGCAGAGGCGCTGCAACGAGTTAAGGAGATGAAATATGCGCTTTCCCTTCTCATAGCTACTATCGAATTCAGTTCGAGATATGATGTCTCCAGTGAGCTGACTCATGCATTCACTGATTTCGACTTCTGTTTCGCCCGACTCCACCTTGGAGCGTAGTGATTGGAGCATCTGTTTGGTGCATTCCACCATGTATCCTACATGATTCTAGAGATAACCATTCGACCATTTTATTAAAAAAAATAATTAAGGATATTACAACATTAAGAAATCAAACCCCAAACAACCAAACGACAGAAACAGAAGGAAAGAGAAAAGGAGGAGGAAGAGAAGTTTATTGAAGCCAATCAAATATATGTCCAAACCTTGAGCTTGTCTGCCATAAATGCTGGAGCAACGATATGGCGCTGATGGTACCAGTCATCTCCATTAGCCATCAACAAACCCCGGCCAATAAAGTGCTTCGTCCCTTGCTGCTGTAGCCATGACTTACCGGAGATACTAACACACTTGGAAGACAGAAGCTCTTTGATCTTCTCTGTCTCCGTCAAGCACATCCGCGGCTCGCTTCCATTCCAAAATATGAAGCGTTTTCCTGTGAAAAGTGAAAACATATAATTAAGCGAGCACCCATGAACACGATTCTATTCTAAGACCATTAATAATTTGTCATCAAGCGACATGGGAGGTGAAGAGTGATGAGAAGAGAATGTAAATATACCAAATTGCTTAGACCAGAGAACATAATGCGGCAATAGGCGGCCGACGATGTCGTGGTGGATGGAGTCCATATCTTTAGAAGTGGCGCTAGCCACAAGGGCTGCTACATCGACGAGGTTTCCAACTATAAAACGAGGTTTGGGGCCGGTGATTCCTTGCTTTTCCATGAATTTCTTGATGCGTCTGGGAGTCAACCAGTAGCATGAGATGGTGACATATCCAACTCTAATCAACGAAACAACCAGGACAACTACTAGTCCTAACAACACCACCGATGCCATGGAGTTCTTATTCAACACTGCACAGACTACAACAATACCCAGGAAATAAGGCTAAGACGACTTGAAAGCAAAGAGGGACTAGCCAGACACACACACACAGTACTCACAGCGAGATAGAGAGAGAGAGAGAGAGAGAGAGAGAGAGAGAGAGAGAAGCGGTATTGTATTAGTGAGACTTCCCGCTGAGTAGTGAGTAGTGATCCAAACACCGGCCTTTATAAACTCATCAAAAGTGGAAATTATAAAAACAAAAAAAGTTAAAAAGATGTTCAGGGATTAACTTTTTAATACAGTGTACAAGCGCTGTCGACGGATTCCTTCAAGACTCCTGTTGTCAGGTTCAAATTCGGCTCAACATCCGGATCCAATTATTCCGGATTTACATGTTAGAAATTGCATCCAATTAATAATGAATAAAATCTAAATCCTAACCAAGTCCGATATATTGAAATTTGTACCGGATTCAAGCTTAGCCTTTTTCAGTTTTTTGTTATTAATCAGATAAGATTCGGATTTAGATGATCCAACCCGGTTACGGCCTTTCTAATAAGGAACGACAAAATTATGGTTGCATGGGGAAACTCATGTGACACAACATAGGACCGCAAAGAAATAGATACGAATTAAACTAAATTTGATTCGTTAATAATTAGATCACAATTGGATAGGGATGAATACACATTACATCCCAACTACAAACGAAACGAATTAATATCACATAATTAATAACTGTATTGGGGATTTAAAATCATTTTTTTTTTAGAAATAGGAGGAGCTACACAAGATAGGGGTAGCTCGGCCCCAAGCATCACAAAAACAAATAGAACTTAAGTCTCTAGGGATAGAGAAAGGGCAAAAACTGAGAGTGCTGAGAAGAAAAAAAAGAGCTTGGTTTGCCATCTGGTCTGCAGTTTGATTGGCCTCTCTATAGGCATGGTTGTAGATGACACCACATTCCAAATCTTCAGCCAGTTTCAAACATTCTTCGATGATGGTCTTCAATCTCCACAGCCAGTCTACTTTGTTTTTTAAACACGAAATCAAAAGAAGAGAGTCTCCCTCAATGAAGATGGGGAGACCCCTATAGTTAAAAGCAATATTGTGGACCTTCTACGCAACCCAAGCCTCCGCCACATTAATTGAGGAATTCCCAATAAAATAAGCTTTGGTCTCAAGAACAATCCCCCATTGATTTCTTGCAACGCAACCAATTGCGCAATCACCTTTATCATTTCTGGACGTGTTAAAATTAATTTTGAACAAACGAATCGACACAACATTAATACTAAAGCAACTTACTACGATTGTGTTTGGTATCCATTGCGTTTTTCAGCAATGACGCTAGTTGTGCCTCATGTTATGTAGGCGTTTAATAGAAGAACATTGAACTTATTGTTTGGTTGAGCATGGTTCAAAGTATCAATGCACCATATACCTCTGTGTATCAGCATGGTAGAGGTGCATCGATACTTTAACCGCTGTATCTTTTATTTATTTTTTTTTAATTTTTCTTTTTTAAATTTTAGTTTTAAGTTTTATAGCCCAAAGATACGATATGATAAGTCTCATATTAGATGTATTGTGTGGATACTTTAAACCTTGTGGTTGATCCATATTAAGAGAATATCAACTTATTCAAGGACTTCACCTAACAGCTTAAGCTTTTTGGTTGAATGGTTCTTTGAGATGGTATTAGAGCCACTTTGACCAAGTGGTTTAGTGTTTAATCCTCATTACCCCATTATAATTAATTAAGTTTTAGCACAAGATATGGGTGGGTCTGTCCTTGTTCACACTTCAAGCCCAATAGGCTTCGTGTGAGGAGGTGTGTTAGAGAATATCAACCTATTCAAAGACCTCACATAACAACTTAAACTTTTAGGTTAAATGGTTTTTGAGAAACCGTTTATCAAATGATATTTTTCTCAATTTAAGTGAAAAATGCCAAAGATTGATATCATTATACCAAACATCCCCTACATGTATTGTAACCAAGACACAGGGTATACCAAGCGGCTTTTGAGGAGAAAAACATTCCCTGCAAGCCCAAATGATTTTACACTGTATCAGGCACAGGCTTTGAGCCGGATCCATTCAAATTTTAACAAAAATCAAACCCAAACCCGGCCATGAATAGGTATAATCTGGAGTGTCGTATTGAATGCCACTTATGATGAAATACGGATAACACCAATGTTTGAAATAAAAAATCAGTAAAAGTAATGTTTTGAATTTATTGTTAAAACTGGCACGTTTATATTTTATGGAAGGATCTCCGAATTATCCTGCCACCTGATACGTATCGTGCCACCCAAGCATTAAACCAGCCCCATGAATCAGTTTTGAAAAAAAAAATAATAAAAAAGCAAAAAAGCATTATCGATATTGCCCGATACGCCCCTACTAGCGTATCTGTCATATCGATATTTTGAACCTTGCTACCACCATGGTCATACGAAATGCGAACTCACTTTTAGGTGCTTCCCTCAAAAGTGCCTCTAATGAATAACATTGTTTTTCAATCTTATTCAATTGTTTCGTTACAGAAATGCTAATTTATGATAATTCTTTTTTTTTATAGAAAAAGGCATCAAATAATTAATCTTCTCCAATTGAAATTCCACTCACTTGATCTCTTGGAATTCCATTTCAAAAAATGACTTTCAATCATTTAAGTAATGACTTTTTATTCTGATTGTTATAAGTACTAACAAAATCTATATTTACACTACTTTAAAAAGTACAATAGCCTCAAGAATATTTCTGGAGTTTTGTGATAATAAAACTTATCCCTCTATTTAAATTTATTGATAAAAATGAGGGCAAATAGGGTAATTAGTTATTGATATTAAATGAGTTGAAAAGAGTTAATTTTAAGATATTCAATGCATTCAATTATCTCTCATTAAATCCAACATTTAAGGTATTAATTCTCATTCACCTTCATTGAATTATATATTTAAGGCTTCTTTGTTTTATCTCATCATTAAATTCTATAATTAAATGCATGCAAATGAAAATAAATAAACAATTTAAATAACATAAAAACTTGTACTTTTAAAATCTACCTAGAAAAATAGTGTTTTCATATAGGTGGTGGTAAAAAGTTAAACCATTTGGGTCAAATGGGTCAATCCATGTTGCCACAATTAAATAATAAAATGAAAAAATATATAAAATGAAAAATATAGAAATTAAAAATTGAGAACATTTATAACATCATATATTCGACATATTAAACAATAGGTTGATGTCATAGTCAAATAATAAAGAGTCACAAAAACAATAAAATTTAATGTCTTAGTCAAATAATAAAATTTTAAAAATAAAAAATATAAAGAATCACAAAAATAAATAATATACATAAGATATAATTTTATCAATAATAGAAATGTAATACAAAATTTAATGTCAACATAGAAATTAAACTATTTTCTTTTTGGATCATGGATTAATCGATGATATAATAGTTAAATAATAAATATTTAAAAAATAATACAAAAGTACAAGTAATCAAAAGAATGTATAAAAAATTATATTAATTATATCAAACAAAAATTAAGTGTGATAAATAAAAATTATGTATATGATGTAGATGAAATATATAATTTAAAACTGATCCAAAAACAAAACTATTTTCTTAGTTAAATGGTGGGTTAATGATTCAACTTTTCAAAGAAATTCATGATGTCATGATTGAATAATAAATATTTAAAAAAATATAGAACACACAAGATAAAAAAGTACCGTGTTTTTCAAAAACATTACGGAACATTTCTATTGTTATATAATCATCATGTTAAATAGAAATTATTTTTATTTAAGACAAAAATGGAATACAAAATTTAGTAATAGTAGTAGTTGTTGTAATAATAATAATTGTTATTGTAATTTAAAATTTCTGAAGGTGCACATTTATTACAAGTATTTAAGTTTATTTTTAACCATATTGTTACTTTTATTAATTTTTAACTTTTATCCTAACTATGATATATCTAAAATTAAAGTAATTAATATGAAAAAAAATGAGACACTAGGAAGCTAAGCTTCAATTAAATAATACAAGGAAGGAATATAAAGAAATATTCTTCTTTTTTGTTCTTACACTTATACAAATAAAAAAAAAAATACAAAAGGGGAGTGTTGTGAGGTTGAGGGCTTGGTGTAATAAGGAAATTAATATAAAGAAAATACGTACTGCACCTCAGAGAATTAAAATCATACCCTTGTGGTAAATTTTCTATTACTCTTTCTTACATGATAGATATTATTATTATTATTATTATTATTATTATTATTATTATTATTATTGTTGTTGTTGTTGTTGTTGTTGTTGTTGTTGTTGTTGTTGTTATTATTATTATTATGTGATGCTAACGACACCGATTCAATGCAATCCAGTTTAACAGAATGAAACAGGGCTCCCGACCTCTCTCCATGTATGTGTACGTGACTGAATGGGATTTCTTATTCACTTTTCCTACCTACCGTGAATTGCAACCACACATCTCTATTATGAATTGAGAGATGTGTGGCTGCAATTAACAGTGGATAGAGAGTGGGTAGGAAAAGGAAAAGTGGGTTGGTACATGACATGCATGATAAACTTTATACAATATTATTATAATTTAAAATTAGCTCAAGATCTCCTTTCTAAACCCTATAGAAAAAGAGGGGTGATTTAGAATTAACTCCAAGATCTCCTTCCCATCTACAACTTGAATAAACCACCTCATTACCATTTTTTAAGTTTTAAATCAAAGTAAATCTCCAAGAACTCCTTCCATCTACGTTACTTCAATCAAGGCTACTGATTTTATGTTTTTCATATAATGCACAATGGTTATGAAATTGAGAGTGAGTGAGTGTAATGATATAAAAAATTAAAAATAATGAAAAAGAGAGAGGAAAGAAAATCAAGAAGAATGCAGAATGAGGATAATGGAGCAAGAAAAGACAAAATAATTATTGAACTAAAAACTAACATCTCACATAGAAAATGTCTACCGACAGCACAGGCTATCAAAACCTCAAAAGTGGAATATATAATTATGTGGAAGCGTAAGACTGTTAAGACCTCAAAAGTGGAGTATAAGAGATGTGTGGCTGCAATACATGACGGATAGAGAGTGAATAGGAAAAGTGAGTAGAAAATGTAGTCTCATGTGGAAGTATA